TACACACTGCATAAAAGGTCATTTTCCAAAATCCATAATAGGGGCACTTTAAAAATCACATTGATACTGTTAAGCCAATAATCATTTTCATGATATGGCAGACAACCATTGCATATACAATGTTGGATTGCGTCTCCACGCCAGGAAATTGGATCCAGTCTCTTTACTAGATCCCATCAGAAGATATCAGTTTTGTCTGGTATCCAAAGCCAGCTGGCAGAGTTTTGTATGAGACCAAAACCAGCTCACTAAAAGTCTTCTATCAGCCTGAGAGGTTGACAGAGGAAGCCGCGCTATAGTCGCAGAATGCAGGAGATGAAATGAAGATACAAAGTGAGCAGGGTTTATTGAATAAAGTCTGAACTTCATCTGAACTTTGCAGACTGCAATTCTATATTATTTTGTCTAAATAAATAAAAAATAAACATCAAAAACTATTTGATAACTAAAAAATGTAAAAAAAAAAAATGTAAAAAAACTATTTGACAACTAAAAAAAATTGATAACTAAAAGAAATTGCTAGTAAATTTTAATATATACTCATTATCAATAAATAAAAAAATCTATAATATTGGCTAACCTAAAACATCTCCTATAATATAATGAAATATTAACAGTATTTATGTTGAGGAAATATGCTTATTGAGACTAGTTTAGTTATGATCAGTGGGGGCTAGCTATGCTAACTAGCCAAACCCATCCAACATACTTAATTCAGCTCTACATATTCAATGCTTAAACTACTGCTCCCTTGTGGTTGTTATCTGCAATTGCAGATATATCAAACCATAAAAGCGTACAGGTCCCTTGAGTCCTCCATGAAGCCTCAGCATATCCAAACTCCAGGTCAAAAGCACATGAATATTATTTTTTATTTTAGGTTCACTGTATTTAATTTCTTTACCATTATAGGTTGCATGGGTGTAGAATGGATCTTGTTTTTCAAAAACAAAATCATATCACATAACAATGGCAGGTCTCCATCTCTATGTCAGACACCAGCTTCTATTTTCCAGTCAATTACTTCCCCAGAGAAATAAAGAGAACGAGTGTGTCAGTTTGTAAGGAGCTCAGGAACAGGGAAGAAGAAAGAGAAACAGAGAGAGATTGGGGAATGGCATGTTTTAATTACTGTGAAGCCCTAGATTTCAGTGAGAGAGAAACTGGCACGTACCCCCAAACCCCCGAGACATGACTCCCTCGCCTCCTCCCCCTCTAGTTTTCCCTTTTCACTCTTTTCCTTCTCTTTCTGTCCGTTCTACATCAGCAAAAAGAATGTCGAAATGAGTGTAAGATAATATAAGGGGAAGTAAACTATAAATATTATAACGACAAATTAATATATGAAACAAAAACATGTTTTTAGTAGGCGTTCCTATGCTGAATCCGTAACTGTAGCAGGCAAATTACTATCTGCTCTTTCATTGGTAGTCGCCGACCGCATCGCACTCTGCTCAACTTCTGTCATGGATGTTCATGTCATCAGAAATCACCAACTCTCATTGAAAATGAATGACTTCCTGCTGCTTTGTTGCTGTAAATCTCTGTATGTGTGAACAGCCCTGAAGTCTCCTCTGAGCAGCATGTTAGCATGAGGGATGTTAAATTATTTATTTGTGAGCAAGCGGTAAAACAGGGTGTCCTCTGTCATCTCATCTTGGGTTTGAAACAAACACATTCTTCAAGCCAAACTCCTCAGCGCCACCTTTACATAACTGCTTTGTTCTAAGATTATAACTTGTTCCAGAACTAAGAATAATTGACTGTTGAAACTATTAGTTACAGCTGTATTGCTGTTACTATTTCCATCCTATAGCCTCTTAAGACCTGAGAAAAATTTTTTAGGAAAAAAATATTTTTCATGTCTTTACATTGTTTAGAGCATAAAAAAAAGAAGAAAAAAAAAAGGTAAAAAAAATTATATTTCATTCATAAGTTATGCTATGCAATGTCCTCATATGAGGTCACAGGGTCTCAGGAGGATAGCACTAACAGCTAATGCTACTAAAACTCACTTCAGAGAACAGCTGCACTGTGTGTTTATATTTACAGCTACAGTGTCTACTGGACTGCCTGTAGTTGTATTTGTATTTGTCTGTTACATGTTCTGTTATCTGTTCTGCACTGTGGCTCCAGGGATCACTGTATTTTGTTTCGTCTCCTACCAAGGGAAAGAGAAATAACAATAAACTTTTGACTTACTTTTGCTTAGTAGAGCATAAAAATTATGAAACATATCCCGTTGAAGGCACCATATAAAATGATCAAACTTGAGGGTCAGCTCTTTTGACCTGGAGCAGTAAGCAACCATCTAAAAATGACCTAGCAACCACCCAGTACACCCTAACAACCATATAGCAATCCAATAAAAACACTCATAACACATTAGCAACACCCTGGGAACCACCCACTTCATCTGTTATCCTGATAGTGGGGGAACGTTTTGCACTAGCAAACATCACTCAGATTTTATTCAGAAAATGTCATGTAAATTCATCACTGTAAAAACGTAAACAAAACACCCATTAACTGTAGCTTAGAGCAACATACTGTAACTCTACTCACGAAATTTCCCTAAATGGGTTACAGGAAATGACTGTCTCGGCTCAATTACGTTGCTGGAGTGAATTCACTTGTGTATCTGACACTTTCCATGAACGGGTAAAAAAATAAGGTCTGAAACTCTTTCTTTCGTTTTAAGCAAATGATTGGTGAAAGGATGCGTGTAACCTTGAGATTTATTTGTCATTTTATACCCCGTTATAAAAAAAACTGTATTTGAAAACCGTGATTGGTGTGATTTTGCTATTTTCTATCAATAAACCAACATCAAATTTAACAAAATAAACAAATATTAAAAAAACTACTCTTCATCCATGCTTTAAAAATATAAATGGTTACCAAATAATATTATTTATGGAAAGTGCCGTCAGTGTTTTTTTAGCATTATTTGTATAATGTTATTATTTATATACTGTACTAAAAGCATTAATGATTTTGATAATTAGTTTTTTCTTTTGTCATTTTAAAAACCTGTTCAGTTAATTAGAAAATAACAATGTGGACAAATTACTGGTGTCATGAACAGCCTCTGAACTGTGAGAGAACCAATACCCAATGACTCAAAATACCACATGTTAAGGTCACCAGAGATTCCTGGCCTCACGACCTTTGTTTGGAGGAGACAAGGACCTCTTGACCTCTCGCTAAGAAAATGATGAAATGTTTTGCTAGTAGCTGAATCATACTGGTCTGATCAGAAAGGGTCTCTTAGGATATCATTGTAAAGCTAAGTCAGAAAACATTCACCCTCACAATCTGTAACTATAGGTTATTTAATTAAGGAAAATAATTAGGATTTTTTTCAAATGCTCTTCTGGCAGATATTGCATGTATAAAAACCCCACAGACACAAACACACGCATATGCACACACACACACACACACACACACACACACACGTTCAAGGACAGATATAGGCTGTATGTTTCCTCCTGTGAGGAGCTATGACCACTCATCTGCTCCATGATAAGGCTGAGAGAAGGAACACCTCTACAGTTCACAGTATCATCGGTAGAGCCTCAAGTTTAATGGATGTCTGCGGGGCCTTATCACACCGTCACAGACCTACTGCAAATCTCTGACGGTTCTCTCAAAATCTGAAGGCTCTGTTCACTTAGTAGGCCACCCCAGGATAAACAGGAGGTTCAGGAAATTGAGTACAGCGGAAACATATTTCAGATGTGACAAAACAAGGTGTGTGATTCATGTAAGTGTAAGAGGTTTCCAGAACAGAAGAACTGAACGTAATGCTTTTCTAAAAGATTAAATTTGACAGTTGTCAATTTGAAGATGAACTTACATAACCTGTAATTATAGGGATTCCAACCAGTGCAGCCTTCTTGCCTCTTTAGACAAAAAATAAATATTTTAAATAGAAAACAGTTCTTTACCCCTCCTGACTCCAGATCAAATGTGAGCCAATGTGGGATTTCTCTTTCATTGATTGGACATGACAGAACATTCTGCTTGCATTCTCTGATGCTCAGGGTTGGGGACATCGTATCTATTCCATTCTCCACCCATCAACAGGAAGCTTATATGACTGAGCAGTTTGGCCCCAATGGTCTGATTCACTGGAGCCACTTTCACAAACTCACATACTTGACACACTCAGAACCTTCATCTGTCTGTTGTATGACATGTACATTGACAAGCCTTCCCTCTATAGTGTTGTTGATTTAATTCATTTCAGTGAAATGATTCTTCTGAATCTGTTCACAAAAAGATTCATTCAGATAGCCCCAACCAGTGCCTTGTGTTATGAGTGAGTCAATTAACCATTTAATTAGGAAAACACACACACACATTTATGACTGAAAGGAATCTTATTAGCCTATGCTTTATTAGGCTATAATTTGCGTCTAAATATCTACTTAAATATTCCAGAAAGAGTTTGGAATCATTATACGCGTTATCTGAACGAGAGTGACTCACATGAACTCATTATGAAATGATGCGAGTAATTCCGATTCAAAACGGCGAATCGTTCCGTTGAGGAGGCGCGTTTGTTCAGTAAAATCGACCAATGATATGCTCCTTCACAAGCCGCACTCGAATGCTATTGGCTAGTATTATAGTCAGTCAGGAAAGCAGTCGCGCACTAAATTAACTAAATTAGTCAATGGATGGATGTAAGGGTAAACAAACAGTTCGTTCACTTAAACCTCTGTCGCCTCTGGCTTGCTTAGTTGGGGACACTTCATTTCCAGCGATACCGTTGACTTGATTGCAAAGATACTATTTAAACTGAGCTGGATGTTGACATCACTGAATTCAATGATGAACTGTCTTTAACTGAAAAATTTGTGTTTACTATTGTCATTTTGCATTATTGACACTATTTTCCTAATTAATGCTGTTCAGTTGCTTTGACACAATCTGTATTGTTAAAAGCGCTATATAAATAAAGGTGACTTGACTTGACTTGACTTAAAATATTCACTTACGGAATACGGACAATACGGAATCATTGAAAATCATTATGCTCTGTTTAGACTTTTGCATTTTATCTGAGAGCGTTTATTGACTCGTCTCGTGCACAAATTATACATCATCATTGAAGTACTGCGCCTTTTCTGCAGACAGGAGCTCAGTCAGCTTTTACTGCGGCGGTTTAATCAGACACACGACAGGTTAGCTGAATAAACACTATTTTGATTCGGCCTGGCCTGTATGAATTTTAAAACGTGAGCTGTTAGAACTGAAATAATACTGTATTTATCAAGTATACCAGTTTTCCCGGCTCGCATATGTGATGTGTAGCGCGAATGCACGATATGTTATGGCCCGCAGCGGTCGACCTCTTATTCAGCACGAGTGATTCGTTGCTCCCGTGGGTAATGTCCCGCCAATCACCGATGCACTCAGGAAATAATCTGGCAAAATCAAAGTGGAAATGCAGGCGCGTCCTCGAGGCCAGCTCCCAACAGCAGGCGGCAAGAGGTTTCCATCGAAATCCCTTTTAATTGAGGAGAAACAAATAAACGAGCGGCCATGTCGCTGTTCTCTTAATTGAGATCATAATTCACGGTATTAAACGTGATATCGAGCAGTGCTGGTTTCCGCTGAGTGAGAGTGTGCCACAACCTGCTTATAAATAGTTTAATTAAGCGTCGAATCACAAAGGGTAATGCGGCTACACTGAAGCTGTTGCACACGTGTCGTCTGACTTCATTGATGCCAGTCATTAATCTCATACAAACCAAACGTGTATTACTCCAACATCCAACAGCAAACGATCATGCTATACATTCTGATATGCGTTTAATACAGGATTCCGTTGTGTGGTCAGCACGGAGGCAGAAGTGCATGCCAATGAGACCCGTATACAGATGCTGCTGAAGATACTCACTCAGTTTAGGGATTCAGGGGGCGCCTCGCCGCACAGCATCCACCTCGCTGCGCTCTCTCGGCTGCTGCTGCTGAAACGTCTGGATCCTGGTCGAACCCCGCGAGCATAATCAATAACCTGCGTTGAGCCTGGATTCGTATGTTAGGGAGGACATGTGTGCGGTATGGCATCTGGCGTCCTCAGCGCAACCTCTGACCATCCCCATTGTTCCTGTGCATGCCGCGTCGCTCACAAGGCGAAAGGTGCAAACGCACAGCAGGGTTATTCCAAGTCTAGGGTCGGTTATGATATCAAGAGCACGTCACGACTGCCTACGCTGAGCCCCAGAGCCTCCTCGAGCATCGGCGACAGTACCATATGACAGCGCGGTGCCCACTGCATTTGCATCTGGAGCTCGCGTTTTGCGCCACTGCGCGGACAGTTTGGGAATGACAGCCAGTGTGTGAATCTAATCAAATAAATTATCTAATCAAAAATACTGTAAAAACAGTCATATTAATAACACATATTTCACAATATTACTGTTTATACTGTATTTTTGATCAAATAATAAGCATCATAAACTTCTCTAAAAACATTTAAAAAATCTGAATTATTCCAATTTTTTTGCCACCAGTGTATATAATTAATTACCATATTCACATATGATCGTATCATGACACTTTATTATAATTTGAAAGTTTTTTTTCTGTGGTGTTTATGGATGACATTATAAAATGAATTATTCAACAAATAAAATGTAGTTTCTAGACAACATATTAAAATATACAAATGTAATTTATAGGTATTGATAAACATGTTTCATTAATGATAGATTATTTTTTCATAATTCTTATTACAATAATTTGGGTAACAGGGTTAAATGGTTGAGATTTAACAATATTTGACCAATATAATCAACAAGTACACTCTTAAAATTAAAGGTTCCAAAAGAGGGTTTTTGCAGCGAGAACACATGTTTGTGTTCCCAGAAAGCCTTTCAGTGAACAGTTCTTAAAAGAACCATTTTTTTCTAAGTGTGAAGAACATTTGAATAATCTAGCGAACCCTTCTCCATTATGAAAAATCACACAATCTACAAATTTACATGCATTTTAAAGATTCTTAATGGAACCATCAATGCCAATATAAATAATATCTATTTTTAAGTAGTTTGCGTCTTCCCATCATGCTGTAGAAATGGTTAATTTTATGTTCGATTGTTTAATTTGCACAACAGGAACAGTTCATTTCATGTCAGATAGTATGTTTTGCGTGATTTTGTGCATTTAATCAACTTACAAACCTTCATGTTACAAACTAGATAACAAGAATCTATACACAAACACACAGAGACATATAGGCTCAAAAGGAGATTCACAAACACGATGCCAACCCACCAATCAAACCTACAGCTCTCTCTAAAGATAGTAAATTTGTTTATCGGCACATACTGAGACTCTCAGACCTAAACCCCTGCACCCTGCTGTTAATCGCCCATCTGTGGGACTACGGACCGTGCCAGCGAGCGTATACTCGCTGCAGCAAGCAGCTGTGTTCAGGTGCGTGATATGTGCTGAACATGGCTGGGCACTGCAGGAGCTAGTCAAGTAGAGGGGCGTCAAAATTATGAAAAAATGCAACCTCAGGGCTGACATCTTAATTATTCTAAATGTAGAAAACACACACACATACACACATGCTTAGAATCCCATACTCACAAACATTTACACACAAATCCTATCTTCGATATTAGTTGCCCCCTGCTTTAAACCAGCTTAAACAGCTGGTTTGCTGGTCTTGCCGGGTCGGAGCTGGTCTTCCAGTTTGGCCAGCAAGTTCTCAGCTGGTTTAACTCTGGGGCCATATAGAAAAAAAGTGCCCAAACAACACACCAACCTGATCAGCTTGAGATGTTTTTCAACAGGACTGGTAAAAGTTACAGCGTCTATAGCTGCAAAGAACATACTGCATAACTGAGCATTTTAAACAAAACAACCCAGTAGCGTTAATAGTCAGATCTGGATTTCTACGGAAGGTAAATCTAACCATTTCCCAACTCTTCCATCCGCTAGTGCTCCACCTGCCGCTCCCTCTCGACAGCGCACAGGGAGGTGGCTGCTGTTATATTTAAGGAACCACCCCATTTTATTTACCCCCGATCACACCCTCTTTACCCCCGCCTACCGCTTCATATATTTTTAACCCTCTGCGCTATGTACAGCTATGATCAGAGCCTATTGTGAAGGGAGCATAGCCTACTGAGAAATACCGCTAATAAACAGGCTACCTCAAAAATGAATCTGTTTTATTTACCATTTTGAGTTTTACGTTTATACCGGAGAGAACTGAAGATGGGCTGCTGCTCGGGGAGGAGTATGTTGATGTTCTTCTGCGCTCTTCAGCTGGTAAGTGCGTCATAGAACTGTGGTAAAAACAAGCGTCTACTCGCTGCAGTTTTGTATTAATCCGTCTGATTAAAAAATCACTGTTTATGAAATTTTACGTTGTAATATTAACTTCGAGACGAGTTTCTGAACATCTCAAGACTTAAAGAAGTCAAGTTTTGTGCCAATATTTTTTTTCATTTTTTCATTTATAACATAGGCAATAATTGTACAGTTTTGTTTATATTGGAAGCGTTTGTTTACCTCGTCAGAATATGGCTGCACATAAACACATTTGGACAGTTATGGGACTATTATAAAAAAAGTAATTATTATGAAAGGTACTCAAAATTAGACCATTTATTTGTAATATAAGCGTACAATGAGAACTGAAGTGCAAACAATACATTATAGGCCTATAGTATATCATGTATAGCTACAGTGTTTATTGTGCACATAGTGTATTTAGAGCTTTGCTTATTTGGAAACATTTGTTGTTCTTTTCTCTCATTTTTATTTTGATATTTTTTATATTCTGTATTTACTGTAATGTGTTAGTCTGTCATATGTCTCAGTTCTGAATTGTTTTGCTAGTATTGCACCATAATTTCTCTCAAATAATTTTTTTAAATATTCATTCACCCATCCATTTATTCAGCATAGAATATAATCTATTTATTTAAACTGCAGACATAAGAGATAGAACATAAAACAAGAGCGAGATGTCAACTGTGCGTTGTGTTGCCGAGAAATGTTTGTGTGTGCAATTTAATGTGTGTTTAATGCATGTTTAGCTCATTGATAGCACTTGGTGTGTGAGATCCTTTTTTCCTCTCACAAAGTGATATATTGGATTCATCTTATCATCTCAGTTAAGTAGTTGCACTTGTGTTGAGAGACAGTGACCTACATCCCTGTTGTTATTCTGCTTAACCTTTATGGCTTTTAACTTTGGTCTAACCTTAGCTTTTTTGTCTTTCCTAACCTTTCCTTTCTTTCCTATCGACTGTGTGAATGTGTATGAAAGAAATAGAGTGAAGCTGCTTATCCAGTTATATATTTTGTAATGAGCATTATATATTATTTATCTGGTATGACATCACATTTGGACTATAATTTCAGTAGATTAACTCGGCCTTGACCTTTAAAAAATACTGTCACCATACTAAATAAATGATGAAGATTCAGTGAGACAGCGCAGAACAGAAGCATGCAGTTATTAGTCTTTACAGTTGTGTATATTTGATCTCAGGGTAGCTCAAAAAGAAAATATAGCCGTATGGTTTAATCGGTTAGCAAATTCAATTCATTATTTCACACTTTTTACTGCCAGTGAATAGAAGAAGAGAGGTCTGCTGCATGTCTGCCATACCATGTCTGATTTTGTGTAACATTTGGCACCTATAAGTCCTGGCTGAACATTCATCCTTCATGTCGACTATATCAACAGGTTCAGCCACTGTTGCTGTCTGTAATGGTGGTTTCATATTTCCTTTAAATATTTCAAATGAGTTGGAGACTGTTCACGTTTATGGATTAGATTTACCAGGATGGATATATGCTGTATGGTCTGGATTTTAATGCAGATGTCTGTTACCAAAAGCGGATAGCTCATCATGCTCATTTTTGCCCAATTATAAAGAAACTGAAGCTTTCAATGTTGAAAATAAATTCTTCTGAAGCCATAGTTTTTGTATGAGAAACAGACCGAAATAAAACATAAAATCATGATACCCAGTGGCTCCCCTTGACAAGTATCTGTGAAACATCTCACTGTTTTATGTTTTTATGTTTGGCTCGTTAAAGTCAACTCACCTCATGTTGGAAGACAGCGGATGGGGACTGTGGTGAAGACATGCTACGAATGGTTGATATGAGGTGGAACCTCTGGGAACAGCTGGTACACAGCAGCATTATGGCATACAGAGAGTGATTGTATGGGGGATGGGTGCTTAGTGGCAGAGAGAGGGTTTATGACTGCTGCAGTGAAGCTTTATGAGAGGAGCAGCATCCCCCACACCCAGCACCTCCCATCTGAATCATACATCTCCCCTCACTGAGCCTCTGACCTCCAAGGAGAGCCCTCATCTCCTCTCGCTCACCCTTTCTCCCTCCCGCCCTCCTTTTCTCTTTCTCCACCTCTCACTCTCTATTTCTCTGTCACAAGCTTTGTTCCCCATTGGCTCTGTTACCCTGGCAACCTTGAGTAAAAAGCCAGCATTTGGAAAAACAGAGGTGGGGGTTTTGATTGTGTGTCTCTGGGAAAGAGAGATGGGGTCTCCATCATTATTGTGTTTGGCGCAGCATGAGGGTGTTTTTTGGTGGTTTTATTGTTTTAACAATGTGTAGAGATCTTGATCATATCATACTCTCTGTCTTGTTTCTCTAGATCACTGCTGTGGAGAGACAGGTGTTTGACTTTCTAGGTTACCAGTGGGCGCCCATCCTTGTCAACTTCCTGCACGTCATTGTGGTGATATTGGGCTTGTTTGGAACAGTCCAGTATAAGCCCCGCTATGTAGTTTTGGTGTGTGTATTTACCTCACGACATTTTTTATAACTTTTGAACTTTAATAGGTATGTTAAATAATATTACATTTAATACAACTTATTACTTATAAATTATTTATAAAAATATTATTTATACATACAAAACATTATTTATACTTAATTTATAAAATACTGGTATTAAATATAAAATGATTTTAAAAAATACCTAAATGATAAATTTATTAAAATAAAAGTATGTTTTTATTAAAATAAATGTATTAAATTCAATAGTGCATTTTAATTGATTAATATGATTACATGTATTGATTTATATATATATATATATATATATATATAAATACTGTTCAAAAGTTTGGGTTTAGTAAGATTTTTTTAAAACATATGAATGCTTTTATTTAGCAAGAATGCACTAAACTGATCAAAAGTGACAGTAGTGTTTATAACAGATTGTTAAAAATTCTGTTCTTTTGAACTTACTGTTCATCAAAAGATTCCTGGTAAATGGAAAAAATGTATCTCGGTTTCCACAAAAATATTAAGCAGCGCAACTGTTTTCAACATTGATAATATTCTTAATGTTCCTTAAGAATGTTTTGTTTCAAATTGTAATAATATTTCACAATATTACTGTTTAATATATTATTGATCAAATTAATGCAACCATGGTGAGCAAAAGAGACTTCTTTAAAAAAAAAAGATATATATATATATATAAATTACCCACCCCAAACGTTTCAATGGTTTTAATGTTAATGTATAGCCTAATGCAGTAATTTGGTTGTTTACACAGATATGGCTTTTTGTTTTAAAAGTTAACTAGATGTGGTTCCAACATAATTTTTTTAAGTCTCTGATGACCATTATAATTATGTTCTTTCCTTTTCTCTTAGTATATAGTCTGGACTGTGTTTTGGGTGACTTGGAATGTCTTCATCTGTTGCCTTTATCTAGATCTTGGAGGGCTTTCAAAGGTAAAGTGTCCCATTGCTCCTATGGGTCAGTCCAAGTTCACATACAGTCATGCCATTGGTATGAAATGATATCATCACTGTGGGTATAGGCTTACAAACCACATATGAACAGGATTAAATACCAGTCTAAACTTACACTATGTTTCCTCAGTACTACAGCCTTAAAGTAAATAATGTTTACAAAGCCATGAAATGGAAATCAAGAATGTTTAGGCATTTCTGTGCTGTGCTCTTTTAGGACAGTGATTATCTGTCATTGGGACTTTCGTCTTATCGCTCATGGTGGAAGGACAACGGTCCAGGCTGTGAGAACAGAAACCTCCCAACCACTAGATGGCAGCATCTGGAAAGTCCTGCTCTGGTCTCCGAGCTGGGCTGTGTATTAGAGTATCAGTACATCGAAATTATGCACAGCGCCCTACAACTGTCCATTTCTGTAAGACCCTAAAAATGAAGAAGTCATTATTATCTGTTAACACTGAAGTGTGCAGAAATAACGATTGTTTTCAAACAGGTTTCCTGAACATTTCTTCCAGCTATGCTGCTGTGTCAGGCATATCAGGTTTTTGTTACCTACAAATAAGTAGGCGACTGTAGTGTTGAAAAAATACATACTTCAATTTTAATATGAACACTTCACACTTCAGTTTAAAATTTTCTGTGATACATCCATATACACCAATATAGAAATTCAGAAACACTCATAAAAATTTACTTGTAAGTGACTTTACTGAATCTGTTGATTTGTTTGTTTGTATGTAGGCCCTGGGTTTTGTATTTGCCTGCTATGTTGTCAGCATCTTCAGTGAAGAGGAAGACACATGTTTGTAAAATATTTTTTTATCTTTCACCTTTAAAAGTGCACCAAGTTGTCTATGTTTTGCTGGCTCTTATTCATCTACCTAAACAACTGATATTGTTACTTCATGTGAATCTAATTTTGTATCTGCATTGTGTTATTTTTCAGATTTGTGTAAGTGACAGTGTCCAGATCTCATCAACATCTCAAGAGAGAGAAGAAACACTGAGAAGGGAAATAGATTGAAGAAATGGACATTAACCATTCTCAGAATGGACCAGATTGGATGGATTCCCAATTATGTATATGTGTAAACATAACAATACACAAAATGTAAGAACATAAGAGTGATGTGAATATGAACATGAAAATTCAAAGGTATGTGTATGTGTGTTTTATTATTATTTTGCCTAATGACACATTGAACTCAACATCTGAACAAGAAACAAGTCACAAGGCATCTGTAACTAAACCAAAGGATACAGCAATGAACCTCACATTCTTTTATGAATACATATTTATTTTATTTTCAGGATATGATTCTTCTGCAAAACAGTTTTACTTGCTGTTCTAATTTTACTGGTCAAATGGTATATTTTGTACATTTTAAACATTGTAAAGATCTCTTTCAGTTTAATGGATTAATAGTGGAGATTAAATGAAGAAGAATTAATTGCTCCACATGCACTCGTGTCATTACACAGCAAAATGCTGTTAAATGTTTAATGATCATCTGTCTATTTTACTATCAGTAACACAAGCCATATTTGTGTGAGTGTATATAGGATATAATACCTGTAATACCTGCGTGTGCTGGTCTGTGTCTTAATGGCCCAAAGAAAACAGAAATGTTGTAACATACGGAACATCAAATCTCATTTCGTAAATGTATATAATACAGCATTTACTTGACACTATTTTAAATGCTGACTGTAGTGAGTCATATCATATTTTCTTTTGTTAAATTATACATGTAGTGCATATCTTAATAAATATTTGATTCGAAAAACACATCAGTTTATAGAAAAAAGACACTATTTCGTTAAGGTCTCTTTTTGATATGTAATCGAGGAAGTTCCCCAATTGACTCACATTACACTGACACCTAGTGGTTAACATTTCGTAAATGTATATAATACAGCATTTACTTGACACTATTTTAAATGCTGACTGTAGTGAGTCATATCATATTTTCTTTTGTTAAATTATACATGTAGTGCATATCTTAATAAATATTTGATTCGAAAAACACATCAGTTTATAGAAAAAAGACACTATTTCGTTAAGGTCTCTTTTTGATATGTAATCGAGGAAGTTCCCCAATTGACTCACATTACACTGACACCTAGTGGTTAAAATTAGAAAAACGCAAGTTGAATCTGTTAATGGCAACGGTTCGTTGTAGCCTACATACCAAATTTTAAAAAGTATTAGGCTGCATGCTAATGATCTTAATAAATAATTATTTATTATGTATATTTATAATATAAAATATATAAAAATATTTTATTATCCTGTGGACAACATAAGCCATCAGAATCCAAATCCAACATGTTCCCTCTCATTTTGAATCAATTTCAAACTGAAAACACATATTTAAACTTTAGGAAATTCAGCAAAAGCATCTCATCAGTGAAGCTCTTGTATTATCTTGCATCATCTGTGAAATGGGTGTTATGTTGAAACAGAGCTGCTCCTGCAGGGTTCCAGTCCCCTATAGTTTCCTATTGCAAACTTATTAAAGACCCCCATCATCCCACCCATCTCTGACTAAGATCAATAGCTAGATCTAAATATCAATTAGCTACCCTGAATGCCCTTTATCAGCATGAGGTTTAGCTGACACAAGAGTGCTCAGTGCTTGTTAATGACATTCTTTTAACAGTGAAAATATAGATTATAAAAGTAAGTGGTGGCATGGTTTATAATAAAACTAAATTACAGGCTTTTTTTTTTTTTTTACATTTTTCTTTTTCCCAGGCAAATGGTTTAATACAGCTTGAAGAAAAACACAAGTAATCAAGCTTGTCAACATCTGGTGTGAAATGTATATATTCATCTGTGTGTTTTTAGGAAATTTTGCACATATTTATGGATATACGAAAAGAAACCAAAGGAAAGAACCAGCTAAAACACCATTATAGTATTAATTAAAAAGTATAATGTTTTAAATATTTTATTATCTATACAGGATGGTTTGTGATAGCCACTTCTTTTTGTCTAAATTAAACACAAAACCATTCAATATAGGCTAATAAACTACTGTGACAGGTCCTCTGACAAACATATGTCAGCCTACTGTGGTGAATAATGATTGAATGAAGGTGGAGTATTTCTATGATCAAGTAGAGGAATCAGATCGTTTTCATCAGGGGCGGATCTACCGGGAGAAAAAGCTGTGCCACCCCAGAATTATCACAGAATAAAATATAAATGTAAGCAGTGTTTCATGTGCTACTTTTCAGCCGCGGCGAGCCAGTGAGGTCGGCTTCATTAACAAATGACTCTTATGAACCGGATCTTTTTGAGTCAAAACCACAAAGTGCGGCCCAGTTCACTAACGAATTGTTTTTACATTTGTTCGTGAATCAGATAATTACTGCTTTTCAGGTAATTCAGAAGTCCTCTGAGAAATCTAATCCCGTCCGGATATGTCTGAGATTCATCGCGTAATTGTTTGGTGATCCGATTCTCTCGCTGTACTTTCATCATGGATATAAGCCGTAACAATAAAATGAAATCAATAAGAAGATGCCGATCACGGAAACTAATAGCAGAGTTAGGTACGAATCTAGTTGTAGTTTTCTCGATTGTTAATATACTGATTTTAGTTGGCACTTTTTTTCCTCAAACCATTAATTCAGTTTTCAAAACAAAGACACATTTCTCAAAACTGATGACACACCAATCAGAATCTCTGCATCCTAACGACGGAGAGAGGAGAGAGCTGAGTCAATCATGATCTACAGGGGTTACTTACACATACAGTATAATTACAGTACAGTACCAGTACATTATATAATGGAAATTTCACTATTCTATATGTACAGTAAACTGTAGCACATTGTACACCTTCAAACGTGTGACTGTCAAATTTTATTTGTAACCATTTTTTATGTGTACTGCATTTTTGCAGAACTGAGAAATGACTGCCTAGAAATATAGCTATTCTTGTGTCAGGAGACCAAGAAACTGCTATAGTACTGTATACTGTAATGAAATTTGGCCAAATGTGCAGAGTTACATAAACATGAGTACCTCTCAACCGTCTAATCAGAGTCCACATGGTAATACAATACATTAATATGCAGAAATAATTTGATTGTTAAGTATAGGGCTAACTGACTTTGTATGTTAGCCTTCCTTGCTAATTGGTTACCATGAAAACACAAGGAAAGATTACAAACCTGTTGTCCAACAAAAGTATATTGACATGTTTTTACTCCAAATTCACTTCATAACATCAGTCGAGCGTTTGAAATAACTTCCATAAACTTATTATGGGCGAAACTACTTCGCTTGTACATCCACTGTTTACTGCTCGGTTTCAGCGGCAGTGAATGTAATTCATCATATTCGCCTGCTGACAGTGATGAATCACTGGGACGACAATTCTAATGAATGAATATTAACATTAAAGAAACATGCAAACTGCCAAACAAATAATGGCACAAAGAGGAAAATAACTGTTAAAATAGGTGTCTTGTCGCATCCTGCCACTAGAGGTCACTCGTACAATGACCAACAAACACATAAGACTACTATATAAAAAAAAATCAGAGGTGGCCAAAGTAATCCACTGCGACTGCTATGTTCAATTATTTACATCCAACAACAAAGGCAGCGGCTATTTGCACTAAGTGTAAATAGCGAGGGATGCTATTTACACTAAGTGAAAATAACAGTATTTTTTTTGTGATATGCTATTTACACTAAGTGCAAATAGCTATAGATTATATTTTACACTGTTAAAATAGCAGGATTTTCTGCTGTTTTACTAATTGCAAATAGTGGCAATTATCTGCACTTCGGTATTGTAATACATTATAAAACAGTATGCAATAATAACTTATTGAGTGTAAATTTTAATTCAAATTATTAAATGGATGCTGACTGACTAATACTCGTTTATTGACCTCTTTATTTAATAATTACTTATAATTAATATATATTCGAGAGTAAATATTGTGA